TTCAACTCAACAAAAGGACCCGGCATAGCCAGGTGGTTAGGACGCTCGACTCGCAATCTGAGGTGTCGCGGGTTCGAAACCCCGTCCCACTAAACATGCTCGTCCTTTCGGCTGTAGGAGCGTTATAATGTTACAGTAAATCCCACTATTCGTTGCTAAGAGAGTAGTCCAAGAGTTGGTGGTGATGACTTCCCTCTAGTCTTACACTTCTAAATTTGGGACGGCTAGCGCAGATAGCCCTCATGAAGCTTTGCGCGACATTCAAAATAAACAAAACCCAACAAAAAATGTTCAGTGATGACGTTAATGTTTATTTTTTAATTCCATCGATGTGTTTAAAATATCTTTCAACCTACCATAACACCTTTTTTTTAACTTCTAGAAATGAATCAAAATATGCCCTCCCCCAGTGACTCAGCGATAAGTCTGAACACTAAAAACTGGGTTTCGATACCCGTTAATGGGCACAGCAAAGATATCCTGTTGTGTAGCTTTGTACTAAACAAGAAACTAACGAAAATAATTTAAATGTTGTGTTTATAATCCGCTGACAAAACAAAGTTGGTTTTTAGGCTCAAGACCATGGGAAAGTCGTGTAGGGAAAACTTTGTTAAAAAATTGAGTTTTAAAGACACTACGTCATTTGTAGGTCTTGTTCCATAAAGAGGAGTTCCAAGGTAGCCTCTCCTAAAGCTTGACGACCACAACTCCTGAAGTGGTTGATAGTTAACTCCTATAAAAATGAATGCAAGATATCAACAACGTGTCGTAAATTTGTGTTCTGCCGAGAAAGTGAATCGAAACATTTTGCTGTCAATTAGAAACGATGTTGGTTATACGAGCCTCTTCAATGAATGGGCCTTGTTTTGGAATCTTTAAAATTAACCACGCAGGGAGGAATCCCGTGTCAGGTAAGGCTTGTCACTTATGTGATAATTAAAAGCAACAACATCGTAAATGAGGAATGATATTTTCGGATGACAAATGTTTATTGAAGATCTCAGTTTCTCACACGTCAGCTCTTTTATCCGCACTGGAGAAGAAATCTTTTGTTGTATCAGCAGTTTTAAAATGTTTTGGCTTGAACTTAATTCCCACCACTTGTGGTGGAGGTGGAAATGTGTCACATGATAAACCACATGACAGTCACGTGTCAAATTTATAATTACCTTTCACGCACGCGCACACATACACACACATCCCACATGTTGTCTTTTTTAGTATAAATTTAACCCTGAAAACATCTCGGGGTTCTAAAACGACACTGGTACTGATATTTCTATGTCTAGCGTTTGCAAAATGATGTAAGCTTGGATTTAATTACAGCATGCATGTTTTTATTTGCATTTAAATCTTATATATATTGCGAACCGTGGTATTTGTCCGAGCGTTCGTTTGTTTTCCGCTTGAAAAGCTGCGTACGCAGGCAAAGCTCAACATTCACTTTTCAACTGACGGGAGAATAGGCATGAATAATGTTTATGACAAATTTTATTTCGCAATCAGGATATTCTATACTAAATTGTTAGGAATTAATCACACTATCATTCACATTTCAAAATGTGACGTAATTTAAACAATGAAAATGTAGATTTACCATATGATATTGTTGAGCGACTCTTAGCATGACTGTAAGGCTCAACAATTACTTTTCGCGGTGGGCAGTATAAGTAGCTCAGAGCTTTGGTTCTGAGTGAAACCAAGAGTGTAACACGATTAACCTTTTTAAGTCCATGAAATAGCTTAAATTGATAGATAAACTTAAACTTTCGCGTCACTGGGGACGGGTACTTTTGCTTATGTTTTCCAATCACAGTCAAGGTCATAGTTTAATTTTGTATGTGTGTTCCAGAACTTGTATATTTTGACTTTATATACATCGATGCTTAACAGAGTCGAATTTAGAAACGACAGTTTGAGTTCAAGTTTCACAACTGGTTTTCATCATGCAACATTAGTTCGATAATAAACTCGTATTTCTGACCTGTCTATGTACAGTATGTTTGTTGTTTGTTTTCGGATATTTGTGCAGAAACTACCCAAGAGCGAGATTTTTTTTTCTTTCATATAACGGGATGTGAGCAAACGATGGACCAGTGGATCCACTGTCCGGCACGCTAACCACTAGGCCACGCTCGGCCCTGCAACACACTATGAGAACAGATTACGCGACTTTCTTTTTGAAATTTGAATGTCTCTATGAATGAGTCTCTTTAACATATTTTGTGTGTATGTTTTCTAACATAAAGCTACAAGATATGCTATCTGTGCTGTGTCTGCCACTGGGATCAAACCAATAATTCTAGCGTCATAAGCCCTCAGCCTACTGCTGAGTCACTGGGAGACGAAATTTAACGATTATTTCCAACTTAGTTACGTATACTTAAAATCGTTTACTACATATTATTTTATTATATATAAATCTTGTGCATATATTTCTAAAATCTTTCAATTAACAAGATTCTTACTGAACTGCACACAGCAACACCACTAGCACATTTTCGTCCCCAGTGGCTCAGCGATAAGCTTGAATACCTATAACGTTCTTATTCGGGGTTCAATCCCCACAGTGAACATGACGCAGGCAGTCTACTGTGTGACTTTGCGCTAAAACAAACAAACAAAAGCTCTTTTTTTTAGTTTCGATATTTCACACAAAATAAAAAATGGACGACTGATGACAGTAACATAATCCCTTCCACTTAATCGCCCACGTTTAAATTTAAATAACTCTATAAGCAAATAGTTGCGTAAATATATCCATAAAAATATTGTGTTTACACAACACTTAAATAAATTCAATCACATTTTTTAAGTGACTTTGCCAAAAGGTTAATTCGGGGGAAACGGTCCCCCTTACTTTTTCATTATCTGGATTCGATAATGAAATGTTCTTCTTTTCCCACATGTATATGTTTATATATGGGATGTGTATATGAATCCCTACAACTTATATGTTAGTATATTAACCAGCCGAGGCAAATTTAAGTGGGAAAATTACATATACCTAAGCGACAATATTCTCATCAGTTCCTTTCATGTGTGTTCACTCAAAGATCAGATTTGGTTTGGCAAAGTACAAATAAAATCTTTCAGTATTTATTTATAATGCTCAGAAAACCTTCTAACGAGCTGCTAGGAGGGCAGCCAGGATGACGGGGGGAGGGGATTAGCGGACTTTAGCACTGGTTACAAAGATAAATAAAATAACCTAAGTGGGAGTGAAGACGGAAGTTTCATATAGTTTGTTGGAAAATAAGACCCTACAATGATTCATTAATCAAGAGGCTATAAAGATCCCCATTACCTTTAACACATAATTTTAGCCACACATCCCGCGTCAATGCCAGTACATTTCTGAAGAGGGAAACTTTCTATATTCGAAACAGTTTCTTCCAAAGATGTCGATTTAGAGTGGTTTTATCTTTCAATAAAAATATTAATAAGTTAAAACCCATAACGCTACTATAATCCTTTTCTTTGTCCCACATCCTGGAATAAAATGAGCCCATTGTTTAAAACACCACCCACATGGATACGACTACCACCATTTTCATGTACATCATTTATTGACGTAGTAATCGACTTTCAACAAAATGGCCGGAGAAGTGTGCGGGTCCTATTTCATTTTCTGAAAGAGCGTCTTGTCTCGAAAAATGTGTACTTAACATCGAGTTCCTAAAAGAGCCGATTGTTCAACGCAGATACGCTTTGATTACAAAGAACTTACAGTTCGACGAATAGCGACGTCTATATTTTGGCCAATAAATGATGTAATGTTTCACTCTATCCAATACTGGTTTCCTCTTTCTTCGTCATTTTCTTTTTAAACAAATTTATATTACCTCTTAATTTAAAAACTCTTCCAAAAGTCGTACGAGCATTTGGTACCGACTTCATTTTGTACGTAAACCGCATTCCATACTAATCCGCTGATACATGGGTAAAGTTAACCCCCGATATGATGACTAGTGGGGATTAAAGAGCCATAGTACTTTAAGCACGCATTCGAAAAGAATTCGTTATTTGAATCAATCGTTATACTCTGAACGGCAGTGGTGCTGCGCCGACAGAGAAACGGTTGTGGAGGAAGTTTATAGTCAGCTGACTAGTAACCCGAGAGGCGTGTGTTGTTAAACATTGGGAAGGGGGGGGGGGTCAGACCAAACAAAAAACAACAACAACTAGAAGTATATAACTGCAAAACGAGAAGAAAAATATTATTCAAAAATCGATAAACCGACTAGAATTTCACGCACTTTCAAACTGATTTGAAGATAAGCTTTATGACAGTACAAACCGAAACACAAAGATCATTTTGTTGATAATTAGTCTCAGGAATGGCTTTATATAGAACATCAAGGTCTAACTTTAGATATAAACTTCCTACAGATTGGCATAGCTCAGCAGATTAGTTACATTTACAGACTGGCATAGCTCAATAGATTATTTACATTTACAGACTCGCATAGCTCAGTATATTAGTTACATTTACAGACTGGCATAGCTCAGTAAATTAGTTACATTTACAGACTGGCATAGCTCAATAGATTATTTACATTTACAGACTCGCATAGCTCAGTAAATTAGTTACATTTACAGACTGGCATAGCTCAGTAAATTAGTTACACTTACAGACTGGCATAGCTCAGTAAATTAGTTACATTTACAGACTGGCAAACTCCGCCGTAGACGGTCCCAAGCCCGTTTGAGAAAGGAGGAGGGACGACCGTGGTGCTAGCAACTCCACGTCGTTATCCAATATTGCTAAAGAAACAACGAGAAGTAGCCATTCCGGTAAACATAAGCAAAGAGGGGAAGACAGCATGTCAGTTGCACAAGTGACAAGTGATAGCAACATAAAGAGGCAGGATCAAAGCCGAAAGGAAGTCTTGTTTCGGAAATGTCCGATCCTGAATGCAAAAAACACTACTAAGATCGGAACATGGAACGTTAGGACCATGTTCCAGACTGGGAAAACCCAGCAAGTAATTTGAGAGATGACACGATACAAACTAGACATTCTTGGTTTAGCAGAGATGAGGTGGAGTGGATGTGGTCGTAGTCAGTCTGAAGAAGTTACCATCTTGTGGCCAGGTCATGAACAGCAAGCAGTAAACGGAGTTGGAATGATGATAAGCAAAACAGCTGACAAAGCTTTGGTGGAATGGAAGCCAGTAGATGAAAGAATTTTAACGGCAAGATTTGTTACTAGTCAGTCTAGATTGACAATAGTTCAATCCTATGCCCCCACTGAGACAGCTGATGAAGTTGTTAAAGATAGTTTTTATGAGAGGCTGCAAGAAACTGTGGATGGGGTTCATAGGTATGACATATTGATGGTGATGGGCGATTTTAACACAAAAATGTCCCCAGAAAGAATTAATGGAATGGTGGGGCCGTTTGCATCGTCACCTGTAACAAATGAAAATGGTGATCGATTTAGAACCTTCAGCAATGTCAATGGACTTTGCATTGGCAATTCCTTCTTCCAACACAAACGCATACATAGATGGACTTGGAGGTCGCCTGATGGCCAAATTAAAAATGAAATCGATTACATATGTATTAGTAAGCGTTGGGTGTAAGATCATACAGAGGAACAGACGTTGGTTCAGATCATAACTTAGTAATCGGAAAGTTCAAAGTGAAATTTAAAGTGCAGCAGAAGACTAAGAAACCTAAGGCTTTTGCAGTGAATAAG